TTCCGCCCTCCCCACAGGTCAGAGCATCCCTCAGAACCACGGGCCAGCCCCGCGTCCGCGCTCATTAAACCCCCAGTCACAGGCGTGCGGGCAGTGCGGGGCTGCGGTGGGTGCGGGGCGACAGACCAGAGGCTGGAGACGGTGGGCAGGCAGGACTGGCCGACTCCACGGTTTCAGGAAAGCACGCTCACCGATGTGGGTCCACTGGGCCCAGAAGACAAAGCAAAACAAACCTAGCGCGGTGCGCCCCAGGCAGGCTCGCAGCGCGGAGCTCTGCCTCGCTCTGGGCTGGGGTTTTGCTGGCACCGCAACAGGTTTTGGAAAAGCAGTCAAAGCCCTTTGCTCCCATCAAAGGGAGCTGGATGCCCACACTTAGAGCTGCCCGGTCAGGAGCATTCGAAGCCCTGGAGAAACAGCTCGGAGAGAAGCCGGAGAAGCTTCAGCTGCGCTATGGTCATCTGGGATGCTACTCCTGCTCTGTCTGTCCCCTTGTGCCACGCTGCTCCCTTCTCCCCAGCGCCACTGCCGTCACCTCTGAAAAATAAAATAAAACTGGGATTAAGCAAGGGTTATGAGGTGGGGTAGTTAGCCCTTCAGCCCACAACTGACAGGAAGGACCACTGCCCCGGCCACACACACACACACACACACACACACACACACATACACACACACACGCACACACACACGCACATACACACACACACACACACACATACACACACACACATACACACACATGCACACGCACATACACACACACACACACGCACACGCACACACGCACATACACACACGCACACGCACACACTCTTGCACTCATGCACACACACACACACACACACACACACACACACACACACACACCAGGAGACTAGAAAACACGGCGGGTGGGCAGGACAATCTGGCCCATTACAGGCCCTGGGGGTGGACCTAGGGAGGCCAGCTGCGGCATTCCTCACCCCCACCTGGCCTCCGTCGGCCCCATCTCAACCTAGAGCCTGTAGATTCGAGACGTGGGCCTCACCTCTAAGGGCAGGACCCTCCAAAGCTGCGTTAGGTGCGTGCAGAGCAGGCCTGGCCCCCTCCCGGACGGTGGGAGGGGGAGGGGATGCGGGCACCCGCCTGCTGGTCCTGCGCCACCCACGCACGTGCCTGAGGCCTCAGGTCCTTTCCACCCATGAGTGGACGGGGGTGGAAAGAGGCCGCAGGAGGCGCGCGGATGGCGCGCACTGGCTGGGGAGCGCGAGCGGCGAGGCTGTGTGGGTGCGCCGCGGAGCGCAGGGGCTCCCGACCCTACCCGCGGCCTGCCGAGCCAGGTGGGGCTGCAGGGCGGGAGAGAAGCAGAAAGCTCCCGGGGAGGCCAAACGGCACCTCTTCAAAAGCTTCTCTGCCCTGAGAACAGAAAGGAAACTGGGGCGGGGGCACAGTGGCCCCCAGCGCCCAAAGCAGCACCTGGCGCCACGCAGAGGCGGGGCAGCAGGGGAGGGCCCTGCCCGGGCCGGCCCCAGGGTCCGCAGTAGCCATTCAGAGGCGGCGACACGAGGGCTTTTTTGCCCCCCTCCCCCGGCCACCCCTAGCCTTGACCGTGACCCCAGGCCCTCGGGCTGCCCAGGCAGTTTTACAGGTGGCCTCTTTCGTTACAGTCTCCTCTCACCCTTGTCGCCGCCGCCGCCTCCCCAGGGACCCAGCGGGATGGGCTTGAGTTTTCCCATCTAGTCTGGAAAGAGCTAGATCCCCCCCCCCCAAAAAAAAAAAATCCAGCAACGACCAGCCGGAGCAGGAGGGTTTGGAGAGAGGAGGGAGGATAATGGCATTTCTATGGCCTTGCTTCTGAGCTGCTGGTTAAAAATAGAAACCTTTCATTTTGTCCTGTCTACTGGATAGCATTGGGACTCGGAGCTGCAAGTTTCTGGGGCATCCGTTTATAATCAGCCCACAAGTGTACATTGAACCCCTACTTTGAGAGGAGCCTTCCACGCGGCTCCTATTTCAGCATTTTGTTTTTTTTTTTTTAAAGTAAAAGCTTATCTAAAGTTCTACCAATTCTCGAGGAGCTGTTATTCTGAGGCCTTTATTTTTTAACCTTTGGAAGTGGGCCTAGCGCCCCTGGAATTATTTCTGAGACATAGTTTGGGGGACATTGGGATCTGAGTCTCGATGGCGTACTTGGTGAATCTCCAGCCTCCTGTGCCACCACCGAGCTCCCCGGGACCGTCCTGGGCCACACTTCCCCAGCCCCGAGAGCCAGCGCGGGCGAGGCCTCCCTAGCCTCACACTGCGGCGCAGGCGAATAGCAGGAGCCTGGGGAAACCCGAGCCCGGCTCCAGCCCGTGGTCTGCCCTTGATCTCGGGGTTTTGTGCGGAAGAAAAAACAAAAAAAAAAAAAACAAAAAAACAAAACAAAACACTTGAGACTGAAAACATCCGTCTGAAAAAGAGACAAAGGAACAGGGTGGGTGGAGGGAGAGGAAGGTGGCGGCGGCGGGGAGAAGAGGCCCGGGCCAGGGCGGCGTCTTCGCTGCGGGAGAACCGCCGCGTCCCGGCTCGCGCGGCCTCCTCCCCGCCGGGGGCTTCGGAGAGCTTGGTGCCCCCGGCCGCTGTCCTCGCGGCCATCCAGGACGCGGCGAGGACCACGGTGGCTGCTCGGGACGCGCCTCCCGCGGGAGCTCCGGCCGCCTCCGCAGAGCGCGAATCTCGAGGTGGGGCTCCTTCGGCGGCGGGCGGAGCTGCGCCAGGCGGGCGGCCTCGGCTCCCTGAAGTTCAAGGTGACGGCGGCGGCGGAGAGCCGCGGCGCAGCCCGGGCCCCGCGGGAGCCGAGGACGCGCTCCGGCCGCGAGCGGCCCGGAGGGGCAGGTTAGCGCCCGGGCTGGAGCTCGGGCGGGGGCTGGGTCATCCCCGCTCGGGCCCCCACCCGCGCCCTTCAGGACAGGGGCCGGGCGTCTTCGCCCCTTCCCACGCGGTCTCCCTCGTTTCTCCATCGCCTGCTGGAATCCGAAGGGCTCACTAAGAGAGACTGCGCGCAGGGCCCGGCACCAAGCCGCAGGGCCGAGGGCTGCTGCGGACAAAGCCTCGAGGCGCGAGGACGCCTTTCCCGAGGGCTCTGCCGGCCTCGGCTGGGCTAGAACACGCTCCGGCGGCGATCTTCCGGGCCCAGGCCCAGACACGTCGTGTTTCTCTGGCGAACTCTAACAGGGCTGTGGGCTGGAGCGAGCTCCCTCTGGAAAGCAGTCGTACCACCTTGACCCTGGGAGCGCAGGATTCGTCTTCCTGCATCTAGGAAGGCCTCAAGGCCGGAGGTTAATGAAGCCGCCCTCTGAGCATACAGATACGCATTTGGGGTATCTCAGGACTAGATCTCCAGCCTCCCAATGAAAAGGTTGAAAATATTTGCAATAGGACCGTTTCCTTCTTGCTCACAAAATGAATATTTAATCGGACTTCTTTGCCTACTCCCCAGGGATAAGGAAAAACCCTAAACGATTTTCTTCACAGCTTATAATGTGTCCAATGAACTCTCCCAAGGCTCAGGGACATATGCCAATTATTTTAATAATTGTGCTTAATATTATTAGGGTTATAAATTTGATTTTAATAGAGGGTTGATCGCTTCAGAAGTTGGCGCTCAGGCAGCTCACGGCCCGCTGGGGAGGTCCAGCCTGCCACTAGTCATCCTGAGTATCACAGGCCAGCACGCACGTGCGTCAGGAACAGGCAGTGTGGCCCGTGGAGGCCAGCCTGTCCTCCCAGACGTCCCCCGGGGCTGTCACTCCGGGCCCTCAGCCCAGGGCAAGCAGGAAGAAGCGGAAGACTCGCAGCGGACGCCGGCGGCCCTGGCCCGTCCTGGGGTCTGCCCCCTCCCCCCTCGCTTGAGGCCTCTCGGAGCCACAGGGACACCCACTGGGAGCGAGAGGTCGGGGAGGTTTGGGAACTGAAAAATCATTTCCTCCGTACCTACCCTTTTATTACTGAAATTATTTTTACTTTCTTTACAGCATGCTGTTTGAAAACTCACAAACTCCTGTGGCGATAGGAAGCCCCGTCGCCAAGGTTCCAGAAACAGGGCTCTCCTTTTCAGTCACTTCCACCTGGCAACATTAGCCTGGTGCTTTCTATTTCACTGCTTTCTTTCTTAAGATGGAAGAGTGGATGCATCCCTCTCTATGATGGCAAAGAAAATTTTTTAACATTCTATTTCTACTTATTACTTTTTCTTGAACACCACTGCAGGGGCTGCTTAACACACACAGGGTTTACTGAGCAAGCTTTGCTTAAAATATCAAGGAAAAAATAAAAACAAGCCCCTTTAAACTATAATCAGTGGGCCAAGTTCAAAAACAAAGTACTCAGCTCAGTTTTAAACATGCAATTAAAAATAACTGTACCTCAGCTTTTCAGAGGGAGGGAGAGAGGAAGGGGGCTGGGTAGAGAAGAAAACAAAGAGTAAGGAAATGTTTAGTGCTCTTAAAGCCAGCCCAAATAGCTGAGAGCAAGAAAGGCATTCCCCCGGATAATGGAGCCATTCGACTCTGAAGGTTCCTGCCGCCATCCCTCACAGGGGCTTTCCAAAAATTTAATTCATTCTCAGCCACCAAACAAAAGGATGCAGAAAATAATTTTGAGACTTTCTGCCAAAGGGGCAGCTTGCCCATTCTCTATGCATAAATAGACCTTCCTCCAAAGAATGCAAGGTGGGACAGCCCCTCTCACTCCCGGTCCATACCCTCTCACGTCTCTCGCTGCGTCCTTCTTGCTCTTCAATAACTTTGCTAGGGGGTAAGAAGGATGTTCATGCGGTTTCAACACATTTTATTATATTTCTGTATGCATTACTCTCAAAACATCACAAGAAATGATCAAACCACTTAAACCTTCAAATAAAAAAATCTGAAACAGTTTATGCCCACAATTGTACATATTTATAGTTAAGAAACATTCTTTATAAATATTGTTTCCTCTGTAGCAAGTTAATACCATAATTTAATTACAAATGGATAAATATGGCAACAGATATTTACAGAAGGGTATCATACGGAAAAAGCTAACGGCACACGCTTAACTCCCACCCCCCCTAATCTTTCATACAAGAACTAACAAACCGAACTCGCAAAAGCACTGAGACATCACGTGGAAACCCAGCTAACAGAAAATACATTCACAAGCGTTGGTGGTGATGTGTGCTGTGGGTTGGTGCGCTGAAGAAACAGAAGGGACTTTGGCTCGGCTCATTTTTCCAGTCTATAGTTGCATGAAGTGCACAATCAAGTTGCCCCATTAGAAGGAACACAATATTTAATACCACGATACAAAATAAACCATTTTCTTCCACATTACTCAAAAAAGAAACCAGGTAAACTAAAAGGAAAAAAAGAAAAGGCCCATCACTTGGGGAAAGGAGAAAGGCAGGAAGGAACGCAATCCGGAGCTTACAAATGGACAAACTTCTACCCACCAATAAGCCATTAAAATCACCGGGAAGGGTCCGCTATATACAGTTTGTCAAAGACCGGGAAGCAGGTGGGAGGGAGGGGCTGCTTGGGGAGTTTGGCTCGGTGTTTCTGTGGCGTTTACTTTCTTAAAATTTTTATTTTATTTTGTATTTTCAGCTTCAGAGACACACAAAGATTTTACTTTTCATGCCTAGATTGTTTTTGTTTTTTTTAAAAAAAAACGTTTAAAAATCCTCCTGCTGGTAAAATCTTTTTCATCACCGTAAAAATCAGATCCATAATTTTAACAAGACGATCCTAAGGTGGGTCTGGGGAGGGCTGCGGTGGAGACGGGGGCCGGGAACGGGAAAGGCATGGCCGCTCACACGTACCATTCGTTGAAGTTGGAGGAGAGGCCGCTATGGCCTGCGGCTGCGGCGCCGCCCCCGCCGGAGCCGCCGCCGCCCCCGCCGCCCGCCC